TATATACATTAATTTGACAACACTCATCTTAATGAAAACGACTATACAAACGATTGACAATCAATGAAATAACAGATGACGTATTTGTTTTTTTTTCTTTGTTCGGCGAGAGGGCATTGAGAACTCACGATATACAACTCTCAAAACTGTTTTTTTCTCGTCTCATTTTGGATTTTTCGCGGGCTGGTAATTTGAAATCGTAACATTCACAACAGCAATGCGAAGCTTCGATAGAGAAGCGCTCGCTTACAAATGGCAATAAAAGTAAAGGAGCGTAATCAAAAGTTAATTTGTCATTGTAGAACAGTAGGGAGCAACCGAGTATGATGAGCTAGGTTGATTAAATTAACATAACAATAGAACTGAACATTTACCATTTACATTTTCATCTCAATTGTGAAGAGTGAACGGCGGAACGGAGTCGGGGCTTTAGTGGAAGTGCATTCAGTGGCTCAGGCCCAGAATGGATGTTTGAACGAGTAAAAATCAGTGTCGTCGAATGATGAGGGAAAAACAACGCTAACGGCAAAACAACAACATCATTCAGCGTCAAAACAGTAACAATCCAATAAACCAAATAAAAATGTTGTAGACTAGAGTGGAACACAATGTGGAGTAATAAAAATACCTGGGCGCGTGCAACGTACCTATACCCATTGCCGCCAAAGAGTGAAAACGGAACCAAAGCGAAGAGAGAGAGAGAGAGCGCAAGCGAGTGTTGTAGAGAATCGAGCATTACAAAATTACCGAGACATTTAACTTCATTGGATCGTCGCATGGTGAAAAAAATGGTGCGATGCAATGGAAGCAATTGAAACAAAAGCAAAAACCGCCAAACATTAGCCCAGCCACAAGAAAACTAGAAAAACAATAGCAAATTGTCAAACATTGTGGCATGGGAACCGTGTAACCAAATGTTGGTCTGCATTCAGAGGGAAAATCGTAAAACGATGTTAACTCTCAACGAACGAAATGAATGAACAACCACACCGATACATACGGAGCAAAAAAAGCACGCAAATATGTCGGAGGGAAAAACAGCAAATCGCTTAGCACAAAAGTATTTGTTCGAAAAACTATTAAATAAAACGTGAACAATGCGAAAAATTGTCAATTTTATGGTACTTCTTGATGGCTGTTGTTTGTTACTGTTGCTGTTTTTGCATTTATTTGTTGTTTGCCATACACTTTAGTCGTTTATTGTGTATCTTGATGTTTCATTACAGAATTGTGTTTCCCGCGCGTTGTTTTTGCTCTCACTTTTTAAAGCTCTTCTCTGTCTCTCTCCCTTTTTCTTTCTTTTCCAAGCCTTTTTTGCTCTGATTTTGAGTCTGTGTGTGTTGGCAATTTTATACCGTTTTATTTGCGCTCGTTTCTGTATATATTCGCATTTACACTAATTGTAGCTCTCTGACTCTCTTTTTTTCACTTCACGTGCAATTATACCGTAATAAGTATACACACTCCGTAGATGTTGCCCTTGTTTTTATTTAAAATGTTGGCTGCAATCACAAAGCGCTCGAAAACAATGCGAACTAAAATGGGAGCGTCGATTTTAATAACATTCCGTAAGATTTTTTATTTTTGCAATTGGATGGATATTGTTTTGTGAATCAAAATCGAGAATCAGGAGTCGCTGTTGCGTACCGAAAAAAAAACTAACCAACTAATGAATGGAAAATTGGTGTGCGAGTTTTTTCCTCTGTTTTTCTTCTTCGCATAAAATTAAAGCATTTAAGGTAAAAAGAAAGCGAAAAAGAATCGACTTGGAAACTTTAATTAATTCCAGGTGAATTTACCCGATTATTTTTCTTGTTCTTCTGCTCTCTTTATTTCAATGTTAAATACAATGAAAAGAATGACTACAAGAAAATTTCAATTGTAACAAACGGTATTATAATAAAAATTCGGTATAGTATGGGGACTTACCTGTAAAGTGGTATGCCGGCATCGTCACGAAACCACAGAACCATGTAGACTTTATCTCTGGACGGGGCTATTAGCGGACACGGCAAAGATATTCGGTTCCCTTCAACAGCCTGCACATCGATAGTTCGCACTGCAAAGGAAAAGAAAACGAAATTATAAAAACATGAACACATGAGAGAAAATGGTGCAGGAAATCGAGAAATAAAACAATTCAACCGACGAACATTTCACACACAAAAAAAGAGTACAATGCGAACAAGAAGTGAAGTGGTCGAACATAAATATTATAAATTACTGAAATCACATTATAAAATGGTTATAGCGCGTTTGTACCAAATGACTCGTGAACGGAATTTAAGTGGCTGCACATTTTCTCTCTTTTTTCGCGCCACCATGAAAACCATTTAATATTCAATCAAGCCAAGTGGCATAATAGCGTCGTATTCTAGTTTGCATTCTTTCTCTATGTTTTTTATTCTTATGTTACCACCCCCCTCCTCTCTCTCTCTCTACCTCTCTCTCATTCATTCTTATTCTTCCCTTCGATGAACATTTCGACGAAGGGAAAAAACAGCGGCCAACAAAGAAAAATGTTGAAAAATCATAATTAAACAGCGCATTTTATGTTAAGCACTCGTGCGCTTCGAATTTCACAGCTTGTATGTGCGGGATATCCGTATTTTTTGTTCGGTTGCGGTGGAACGAAAAAAATCTTTGAGATTATTTTTAAATGTTAAACCATGTCATAGAATACCAATTGAATGCAACGGTACAGTACACAATCCAGCAGATCGAGCTTGGTACGTGGATCCATCATAATTATGGCTAGATTCACCCTTTTCTTACACAATATTTTCACTTTATTCCATTTTCTTCTCGACCAAACTAGTGTTTTCGAATTCAGTTTCTGTTGCCCTAGCAAAATTTTGTCTTTTCGAAAGTCGAAACGAAAAGTTGATAAGCATCTTCATGGTAGCGAATCACAACATCTAACAGTTAATTCACCAACTCACATTATTTCACTTTAATATTAATTAAAATGATAACAATTTTGTGTATCCCATTCCAAAATTGTCATTCGCCACACATTTGAGAGCTTTCAAGGTTTGTAAAGTGTTTTTTTTTTCTTGTTATTATAACCGTGTACTAATACTATCGCGTATCTCTGTATAGAAAAGTTTTCACTGCATCCGAATAAATCTAAAACGTGTTGTCCGAATCCACAATCTATTGACAGAATGTGTAATACCAGAAGAACGATGATAACTGCGAATCACGAATGCAGAGTGTTGATGTTGGTGTTGGCATCGAGACACATACTCACACAGAAAGTGAATAAAGCCGCAAAGTGCAGCATAACTTTTGCGAGCAATGCTGCTTCTGGAGTGATTTGGAATGAAGACACGTTTCATTGCCATTGGTTTTTTTCTTCTGGTGTGTGTGTGTGTGTGTTGCTTTTCGTCGCATCCGTTTTGATTTATACCCATATCGTTGTTCGTATATTTCGTTGCCACTTAAAATTGATTCGATACGTTTTTTCTGCTTCTTTCGGTTTTTTTAAATATGATTTTTCATTACGAACGTGAGAGTTTTCCCAATGATTATCAACTTAACATTTAACAAACTTCCATCGAAGTGAAGCTTACTCTTGCCGCTATGCTGTGCTGTGAGTGTGTCTACTGTCTATATATCTATCTGTGTGTTTATTTGAGATTAATCACATGCGAGAAATGTTGTATGCATTTATTTCCCGTCATATTTTCTTACGGTATTTTTGCTGCATTGAAAATGCACTTCATCAAATCTATTTTCCTCCTTTCAATCGGAAAATCGTTATCAATGCGATTTCTCTCTTTTTTCGCTTTCTTTCTTCATCTGTCAATCCAAACAATTGAACCAGAGCCATCAAAAAACGTGTTCTCCACATTTTCGGTTTAACCAATATACATTTTTTTTTCTTCGAAAAGAGTCGAAGGAAGAGACTCACTTTTATTTACCGTTAGTCAACAAATGCAAAAGTTATTCACAAACGAAAATGTCTTTCACATGGCTTCCGTCAAATGCAGTCGCACGAATTAAGCAAGAATAATCTTTTATTCGTTCTCACGAATGCACGAATCGACGCAAAAAAATCAATCAATCACAAAACGGAACGAACAAAAAAGAAGAAGAAAAAAAAAAAAACACTTCGGAACGGATGGAACGACTGAACGAACAAGCGAACGAGATGGATGAAAAATATGCAATTCTCGATGCACAACCTCAACATCAGTAAATAAAATTTGATAAATGCGATTTTTGCCATTACCATTCGTCGGATTCACACATCGATTGCATTGTCATAAAATTCGCACACATAGAATATAAAAATATATATAACAAATGTATCTAAAGAAATTGTATGTTTACGTTCGTTTGATTCGAATGCGCTCGCACACATTCACACATTTTTCTATTCAATTGAATGCGCATTCGCATTCATCGCGTGGCATCAAAACGCGTCGTTCACTCTGATGCAGGAAAAATTATTAATTCAAAATAAATCGATCACATTCAGTATTTGATGAGCGAACAATGGCACAGTGTGCATACAGAATGATTTTAAAACCGAATGTAAACAGAAGCGAAAGAAAGCAAAAGAAGAAAAAAAAACAAGAGAGAAAATCATAATTTTTCATATTTTTCTGCACAGCGGAAGTTTATTTTCCTATCGCGAATCCGCATCCGGTAGTGAAATATATTAAATTATTATGAATATTGCCGATATGACCTTATGATTTACGAGAAATTGGTGGTTTATGCTTTTAATTCAAAGCCACGATGTATCGCATATATTTCAAAAGATATCGCTCGATGAAAAGGTCACAAAATCAATAGCAAATTACGAAATCATAAAACATTACTCGCTCTATGTGTGCTGCGATATGATTTGAAAGTGCTTTTATTCTTTCAATCGCTTGTGGAGTGCTTCGAAAGCACAGTATTTTGTTACATTAAAAGAGTTCTTTCGAAAGATGTTTAATTGGACATTTCCCTTGATTGCTGACAGCAAGTATGTAACTTACTGAAAGATCCATTGAAATGACTTCGATTTGAAAAGATCAAGGTCATCATTTAAAATGTTGAATAAAAGATTTTTTTAGATATTATTGGTGTTATAGATTTATTGCATTTCTCGAAATTTAGGAAATTTTCTTGTTATATATTTGAACCAACCAGTTACGGAATGCAATTATTTTTGCGCCTATACTCTCTTAGAGTTTCTGACCATTCTTGGATGTCCGTCCTAGTTCTTCGTAGTTTCTCTTCATCATTGATCATTCTTTTGGGATTTTGTCGTTTGCCCACCTAACACAATTGCAATCGAATCCGAACCTATTGTATAATGCATGTTTAGTAAACATTGTTTACGATCTGCTTTTCTCTTTTTTTTTTTTTTTTTTCAAAAGTCCGACTGATGTACGAAATGAATAATTCCTCGCCCTGTTCGATACGTCTGGTCGTGATACACATCAATTTATTCGTGACGAAGAAAATTATCACATTTGGACTACACGAGCGGTTTAGGTATGATATTTTATCAAATAACAGCAATTTAGGTACAGTATCCAAATCTATCGTGAATCCTTTGACATGAATTATTGATAAATGGTGTCCCAGTATGTGCTGCAAAAAGTTTATCTTGGGTTGATTATCAAAAAGTCGTCGAATTTCTTCAAATTAGTTGATTAAACTGAATGCCTCATAGAGATCATATTAATAAAAGTTGATAATAAAAGTTGATAATGTGTTCCGTACAAGTACATTGCACATTTAAAAATACATCACTCACACGGGTCGGTATTGTATGGAATTGATTTTTGTGGTCGGTCACCCAATTCATCAGATTATCTATATTGCTAGGGGCTTAATTCAAAATTTTCAAAAACTGAATTCTATAATAATATCCAAATTAACTGAATTTTTCAGCAAACGAATGAATTCCGGTGAATTCTACGGCGAGGCGAGTTCGTTCAAATATGTGAGATAGTGGTGAATAGTTTCTGTTGGCAATTACTGCCATATTTATATTTTGTGTAACAAAATTGCAAATGTTAAAATAATTAATTGTTAATTAATGTTAATAAAATTAATTTTATTTTCAATTTTGAGCGATTTTTTATCGAAAACAATCGGAAATATTGAAAAAATAATAAATTAAAAAATATTGCGGATCATAACCTCACTTTATTAATTTGACACATTTCATTCTATTCACACGAATTCACCGAACTCATCAATAACCACTCGATTCAAAAGTGTGAATTTACGTGAATTCCTGTGAATTTTTTGGCCGTATTAAGCCCCTAGCTATATTGCGCCAGAATGTTTCTATTGCCCCAAAAACCATTTCAATGGCACACTTAATATATAATCCTTCTACACCGAATTTAATGTCATGAAACTGACTTCCGCACTTGCTTGGTGTATAATTTGTATTTTACCAATGTGTACGATTGTTATTTGCACACTTAGACGAGCAATATTCAAAATTGGTTTTTTCTTGTGGACGAAACGATCCAAGTATGCGTCTTTTCACACACCAATTATTAAAATATATAAAATTATTGTTATGAAAAATGTCGATATGACTTTATGGTTTATGAGAAATGGATGGTTTAAGTATTTAATTCAAAGGCACGATGTATCTTACACATTTCAAAAAATGTCTCTCGTTGCAGATTGGAAAAAAGGTCGCAAAACCAATAGCAAATTACGAAATCACAAACATCAATCGCTCTATGTATGCTGTGATGTGATTTGCAAGTGCTTTTATTCTTCCTATCGCTTGTGGAGTGCTTCAAAAGCAATCACAACATTTTGTTACATATATTTACACTTCATTACACGAGAGAAGAAGAGTATTGCAACACGGCAACAATCCTTATGTGTTTGTGTGTGTGTTCGTTGCATCGTCATTGCTGCACTTGTGCATGCTCTGGGTAAATCGTTTTACGACTTACCGAACTGATGAATTCGTCAAAAGAAAAATTGAGATCACGTTTATCTCATTCGAACAGTCTCTTTTTGAGGGCGCCCCACCAAACCCCACAACGTTTTTCTTCAACACGTCATACCAAATGCTCGGTT